AACCTTGTTAACTCACTGTTTATATCATCAATAAACTATTTTTTTTTGCCTCCCTCTCACTCCATCTGCGACACCAATACAGGAGCTCATTATCACAACCACAGAAACTCTGTGCAGGCCCTCACCCTTCAGCACACGATAGACTGATACCCTCAGGTACCAAGGCAGTATAAAAAAAAAGAAATCAGAAATACTAATATAGAAAATTTTGCCTGCACTTCGTAAACCAGGGCTGCTCCAAGGCTGGAATTAAACCATTCCGTACCAACACATTAAAACAAAACAAAAGAAGTACTTTAGATGCAGCTCAAAAAGTAGCATTTAGGCTAAAACTGCCAAACATATATTCTAAACACATCACTCTCTGAATATTTTTTTTTCAGAAACCAGAAGTGTCAAATCCTGCTTGAAGTAATTTTTGTGCTGTAACAGAATATAGACAAGGAGGAACACATCTGGTGCCTGGGCTGTGCAAACGTATTTATAATTAAGTAGAATTGAATACCAAAATCCAGCAATGATAGAATTCATTAGACTAGTATAATGCTGTATAATTACTCCCTTTTTTTATATCATCCACTGTATGCTTTAAGAGCTCTTTTTACCCATTGCTATCAATGTGCTATGACATATTTACATACACCCTGTACAAAAGGCTGAGGAAGTATTAGACGTGTCAGAGGATGACATGGAAAGGCGACTGTTGTACAATAACTACATTGTCAGTGAAACAAGAGGAAACTAATTTAAATTCATTCCCTGGCATGTAACTCTACCGATAGGTACTGGATTTACATTTTGTAAGGAAAGGTGCTCCTTTCTATAGTAGGGAAAAGTCCTAACATGGCAAAACCAACACATTGCCTTCTTCCACCAGCACTACTTCCTCAGCTTGTCTGCCTTGCATTACTGGCCCTCCACCAAACACACAAACCCCTGATTTCCAGACGGACCTCTCTAAGCATCATCCTTGGGTCTTCCCCCACTGAAACCACCTCCACGCGTTGTTGCTCACACCTTAGATTTGGAAAGAACTGCCAGCAGGCAATTGCCCTCTCTGAGCCTTTGCATGTCTTCCTTTGCTCTAGTTCTTTCCAACCAGCCCTGGCCAGGTGTCCTGCAACTCTGACCAGACAGCCCAGCATCCCTCCTGGGCTGCAACACAGCGCAGTGCCCTGTCAAAACATCCAAGTTCCCTGGGCCACCAGGGAAAACCAGGGCCTCCACTGCCAAGTTTGGCACTGGCAGAAATTTGGGCTGACCCCAACAAGAGAGGGTTACCACACTTTAAAAAAGTGTGTCAGGTACCAAAGACATTTGCCCATTGCTGTCCTAGTTTTTTTAACATAAAGCCACCCACTGCCTCACCAAGGCACCCTCCATCTCCCTCTCAATGTACTTGCTTCTCTTCATCGTCCGTATAGAGGAGTAAGGGAGCTTGGACTAACTTAAGAGGGAAGTTAGTTGGTAGGGTAGACAGTGCATATATCCTCACTCCTCTCATAGATGGGTTTGTGATGATGCCCAGACAGCCTAGTGATGATTACAGCCTTTGGATCAGGCTCAGCAGGCAATTACAGAGCCCGCATGGGGCTTGCAGACTGACCCAAGGGGTGGAGCAAACATCTACAGCCGCTCTGCCTCCCCGCTTCAAGTGGCAGCCATAGGCCTCTTCTCCCTGGTAATGGACGAAAGGACGAGGGGGAATGGTCTGAACCCTGGAGGTATTTAAAAGAAGGATAGATGAGGTGCTTAGGGACATGGTTTTGTGGTGGGATGGCAGGGTTAGGTTAAAGGTTGGACTTGATGATCTTAAAGGTCTTTTCTAGTCTAGACGATTCTATGATTCTATACCTACCTGCTATGGCTTTCTCTCCAAAGCTGTAGCTGTAGCCGAAGGAGAGACAAGGCAACGCAGGCAGATAAAAGCAGTCTGCAGGGACAGCAAAGAGATCGCTGAAACCAATTATGATCCGCACTCATTTCACATCAGCCCACAGGTTTCTGACAAAAAAACCAACGGCCCTGACCAGCCACTTCATTTCCAGCCCGCTACTGTGCGTGGAAGTTATTTGAGCAGTGTGCCTGCAGGCTCAGGAGGAACTGCTCTACATTAAATATATATTGAGTTCATAACCAAAAATAGTCTCTCTGAAGTGGTATTTTTATTGCAAACAAAAGCTGCAAAAGTTCACACCTAAGGCTCCTTCAGACAACAGAGAAAAAGTGCATTTAGCAGTTGCAAACAGCCGAAGGAACGCTAAAAATCATTAAGCCAAAATTTGAAGGGTGAGGGGCTGTCTTCTAAAGGGCGAAAGCTTGTGCACAAATGAGGGAATAACATGGTCTTTCTGTAAACTATGGTATGCAGAAAATTGATCTTTCGGTACTTACTAGTACAATTAAGAAATGCCATATTTTTAACAAGCTTAGGATTCAGAAGAAAGACATGAAAGATATGATAAAAGTAGTATTTTTAAACTCTGCTGGACCAGAACAAAAGTTAGGCTGTAATTTGAAGAAAATTAAAACAAAGCCCTTGTTTAGTAAATAAGTCTGCATGAACTGGCTCTTTTTTCACTTTTATTAAAATAACTTTCTAATTAGCTATGTTGACAAAGACAGAACTAATTTAAATTTTACATCATATTTCTTTTCTTTCATAAAAAAAAGATAAAGGAGCAACAAAAACACCCTAGCGAGCCTAGCAAAACCTTTTGAAAATTCACAAAATGTAAAACTTCAGCAAAGAAGCTGTCAGTGATCACCGAGGAAGGATTTTTCAGATTTGCTTTGATGTATAATTATAGACGAGAACACCGATTATTGACCTACGTATTCCTGACGCCGAGCAACCAAAACACCAGCATCACAGGAATACACCGCAGCGTTTTACTGCTCAGTGCTTTTTTACAAACATTCAAAACCATCAAACCTGTGATTAGTCTCTTGTGTGAGGTGTCAAATTCCCAGAAAGATTCCTGCATTTCCGTAGTTTACTCTTAACAGCCGCGAAACAGGCAAAAGTATACCTACAAACGTGATCAACAAAACAGCACTGCTATTCAAAGGGAGGCAGAAAAATGGGTTTGGGGAAGCAAAGGGTCCCACTGCAGGCAGGCACTTGGCCTCCAACACCTAGCAGCGGCCAGGGCCCACCCTGCCACAGCCCCTCGCCCACCAGATGCCCAAGGTGCCTGGATGGTGGAGTTAAGCCACACATCTGCAGACAGGTCCGGGCTTTCTGGGAAAGCCCAGCCCAGCCTGGGCTGGAGCCTGCAGCGCACCGCTAGGCAAGGCAGCTGCCCGGAGCCCGCTGCTGCTGGCAAGAGCAATCAGTGCGGCTCCCTCCCAAATATTCTCTTCTCCAAGCAACACTCGCACGCAAAGTGAGGGGCAAACTGAAACGCGTGAGGGATTGCGTCCTGGCAACCCGCGGGCAGACAGTGCCTTTCCCCGGAGCTCGGTAGCCCTTCCTGCTGCACAGGCCTGGCCACATCCCTCGGATGCTGTGGGAATGCCTATGGCTTTCCTAAGAAGAAAGCAAGGCAGGACAAGCCATCTTCACAGGTTAAATACAACCCTGGGACCAAGACATCAGCATCCCTCTTAGATCTCTTTTATAGCACATGTTTTTGAAAACCATCATCATATCTTTCAAATAACAAAATTAAACTCGGTACAATTTGCAATGAACAAACAATATGGCTAATTAAATATGTGCATCTAAGCTTGAAAGCGTGAAATATTCTCACATGACATCCCACAACTGGCAATGGAAATAAATAAATAAAAGTAAAACCGTGTGAATTATCTGGACTTGATACCACAAAGACACAGGGACTCTCATGGTGAAATCTGTATCTAGAGAAAAACTATTACATGTTATGATTTGCTTTTTATTACATGCAAGTGTGGCCTGGTTTGGTAGCTTCAAATACTTAAAAAAAAAGCCAAAAAAAAAGCAATAAGGCATTTCATAGCTAATTAATCCCTGAACCTTCCAAGAAAATGAGATTACAAAAGTCGCCCACAAAGGTAAGGACTCCAAAACTAATATTACCAACATACACCAGTAATTTAAATCATTTGAATTAAAGATTTTAAAGGAACTACTTGCATACTTAAAGTTCAGTATTTGCATAAGTCTTTGCAAGATCTGAATAACAAGTCAGAGAATTTGTTTCAAGTTTATCTTAAAGACCTAGAAGGCATCCCAGATACAGCACTACCATTTAAAGTTCATAACAAACTTATGGAATTAGCATGGAATTTTCAGAAATCATTGATATATTTTAAAGCTTTTTTCCATCCTTTGACGAGTTTTACAATTATTGTATCAGGAGTATTCCCATGTAGAGAGGCTTGGGAAAAGGAAAAGGAAATGGCAGAAGAGAGAAGAATCGATCAGCTGCAGTGTTGGATATTGCACATCATTTACTGATATTTCAAAAGTGCTGCTACTAAAATGCAATCACATTTTTGCTTTGTCTTAATTACAAAAGTTAAAAAATATAAAGGGTACTTCCCTGTTTCTCTACTTATTTCCCTAAAATGCAAGGAAACTCCCAGTCCTTTTTTCTCACGCGTTGCTAGAGAACATCTTGAAGACCACAGAAAGCCTACACTGAGAGCTTGAACATTTTAAGCTGAAGAAGACTGCGTCAGTGGTCTCGAACAAAACTACCATTTCTGCCATGTTAATTGGTCACTAGAATCAAATATTCACTATACAATGAAGCTGGTGACTGGAATCAAATGTTCGTTATGCAAAGGAGCTTAAAAGTATAACAGTAAAATCATTCAAATGTTTCCCCATCCTAAGTATGCACAACCCTCTGGTATTTATAAAATAGATGCGGGGAATCTCAGCATGCACACACTTAGTCACAAAAACATTTTATGAGATGTCCCACAAAACCAGATGTGAATAGTTTTGCAGAGAATGGTTCTTGGAAATGCACCCAGTGAAGTAAAATTAATAATAACAACAGTCTTACCTGGTCCCAGGGACAGATGATTCCTCCAAAACACATAAAGAGATATCCCATGGCAACAAGACATACCCAGACCACCAGAGAAAATATACGAAGCAGCTTCTTAAATACAGGTTCTATGCAGACAAGGATAAATATAGCGAAAAAAATCGCTAGGGCCGTTGGAACAGTTATTAAAAATGCCACATGGTCTTCAATTTCCTGGAAACAGAGGAAAATGAAAAGGAAGTTAGAAACTAATGTACTTAAAGGTCAGACGGCAATAACATACTCTAAACTGATTGCACACAGAGACCTCAGAAAGACAAGGCTGAATATCAAAAGCAAGATGACTCAAAATAGGATTTCTTTCACCGTAAGGAGCTGTTATTTGGAGTATTAACTTCATAAACAACTGATGACCACTCTGCTGCGTGGTGCTTCTTTTACTAAATTGAGGAATTGAAGCAGATTGAGAAAACTGTAAAATCACACTGCAGTAATGCACCAGGCCCGTAGGACTGCGCACATTAAAAGGCAGCCCCAATCTGCAGAAGTGGCGTAGCCTTTCTGCTTCAGAATTCCAAAGATTGCTCTGATCAGTGTGGTTTGCAGGTGAAATTCAAGCATCGCCATTGAAGGCTGCAGCTGTCAGAATGCCTCCCAAATCAACTATGTGCCCATAACTCCATAAAAGCCTTTTTGACAGTGGTATTTGCCAGGTACTATACATTTTGCTTCTGTTTAAAGTATTTATCTGGAAGGATGGGCTCTGGATTACAGGTAGACATTTTCTCCTAGCAACTGCGCAAACAACACCCAGAGCAAGGACCAAAATCCAACTTAAAGTGAGATTCAGAATAAACAATATTTAAATTTATTTACAGAACTTACATAGCTGTTACTACACTAATATCTTTAAATCATCTAGCGATGGATGCATTAAAAAAGAATAAATATTTTATTTTATATCGCTGTACGTGTTCAAAAGTATCTCTGGTTGAAGTACAACAGCACTGTATCAAACTCTGGTCACGGAATCCTTACTCATTCCGGCAGCTGTTACAAATTTTAACAGCCTCCCTTGTAGCAACAAGGATTGCAAAAGCAGGCCCCAAATGCCACAGTATAAAATCCTCCACTAACCACACATTTCATGCAGAAAAGCCCCGTATCCATTTATTCATGCTGGTGAAAGCGGGGGACCAATCTGAAAGTACCTATTTGGTGATTTGTAAGACATCTAAGCACAAAGAAATAACATTTCTTTCTCCCTAGTTTTGGAGCTGCTTCCTTAGTGCCCTGATAAATCTTGTTTATTGATGGGTTTTCAGCTTACATACTTCACACTTCACTTAAAAAGCTTTTTGATGTGACTTTTTTTCCTTTCTTGTAAGACCTACTGCAGTTAAAGCAAACCCAAAAATTTACAAGTAAATTTGTGAATTCACAAAAATTCACAAACGCTGTCAGCATTTCTTGGGTTCCCCCCGCCCTGATCTAATAAGTTTTACCTGACATCTATAGAGATGCTTGCTGTAAGGTTCTTTCCCCTCCTTCTCTTCAAACTTTTTTGTTTTCCTCGCGGTCCTGCGACACTTGCACTGCGCACTGCAACGCCCAGCCGCTGCCTCGGGCCCAGCACCGGGCAGCCCCGCGCCAGGAGCCCCTCGTACAGGCGAACCCACAACCGAACCTCGGCCAATAACCTCCAAATTTCAGCAGCAGCAGGAGCGGAGAGGCATGGGCCCCGCATTAGCTGCGGCCCCACTCCGTGCTGACACCGGCAGGTTCAGGCCAAGGGGAAACACCGTGATGGAAGTCCACACCTTACTCTGCAGGCTGCAGATTGTCCTTCACCTACCCTACCCTGCCTGACACAAGGCAGCTCATCTTTCACCCCTTCATATTCTTTCTCCCCTCTTAAATTTACGAAGCCAGACATTTAAGCAATTACTACTGCAGCACTGGTGATCAGGACATGAGCAAAAGAAGAGTTGAGAAACTGTAAGTGACGGTGCTAACTTTGAAATGCAAACACTTACCTTCCTAATTAAATTAAATACACACATTAAGGCTTTCAAGCACTTGGGTACTTGTATTGAAAACAAATGTATGGGCTTAAAGTTAGGCATAGAGGTAAGCATCTGCATGAGCACAGAGCTGTATGAAGTTATATATGGGCAATCTTGCATAGTGCGAGACAAAATATAAAACCTAACTACTAGTAGTGAGTGCTACTGATTTATGTCTCTGAATTTTGTAATTTTTGATCATTCCCATCTCTGAAATTTGTTTCAGTGAATTGATTCAGTGATGTCACAACCGATGTCAGCCCAGATAACACCAAAAGCTTCGACCTTTGACTTCTGCACTTCCAGGTGGGATTGCAAACCTCTTGTCACAAGGTCAGGGGGATTAGTCCCTTCACTGGGGCCAGGACAACACCACGTTCCTTGCACCATCATGTCACGCAATCAAGGTCGCAGCACCAAAGGAACCTGCAAGCTCCTGGAGGAAGCCAAGACTCAGGAAAACCACAGATTTAAGTGGCGGCAAATTGGTATTTCAGTGATAACTATCACGCTACAAATATACTCATGAGAATATCCAGATGTGCTTCAGCAGCACGCTTCTCCATTTCAGTCAAAAAAAAAATAAAAGTGTTGTGCTTTCTAGGACAATCTTGCTTCATAACAAATCATCAATATTTAGATTTCAGTTTAGAGCATATATATGGTCACATAGCTGCATATTTCTGTATGTATTCTATCCTTACATCAATCCATCAAAACGTTTGTTACAAATTAACAGCTGATCAATTTCCTTTTTTTTGAAGTGTACACTGTTCCCAACGCTTAGCTGAGCCATTTTGATCGCTAAATCTAAAATTTTATTTCTGCTTTCTCCCCTCCTCTGGTTGGCACAATTTTGCTTTTGGTATAGACGTATGCAGGAGAAAAAACAGACCACGATGTATCAGCTCCTCATCACAGGCAACTGCCTGCAACCTCACTGCCTGCAGCGGGACGTCCCCTCTCTGAGCTGACTACAAAACGACCCGCTTCCGACGTCGCACGCCGCTTGCATCGCACCGTGCACTGTGTGAATTCCGAAACAAAAATTGAAATTTAAAGACAGAATAGTACGCACATTAGGCAATCAAAAAATCCATGAGAAAACTGCTGTTACTACAACTTGAATCCTTCCCAGAAAGCCTTCATGTGTACAGGGGGATTTTTCACAATCCTGCCTGTAAAATACACGTTGATGTCCGGTGCACAACAGCAGGCCCTGTGAGGCAGGGGGTTATTTTAGAAATTACTTTTAACAATATTTTCCTATTACTTCAGAGGAACTAAATGTAACTTGGAGAGCAGGACATTTAAAACTTGCAGCTTCCTGATCAGTATTTGCAGTCATCAGGGTGTTTAGCAGGTTAAAAGATGGTGCTGGATACAAACGCGAATCCTGAAGGCTAACTGTTCTGTTTCCGTAGCCACTTCCCAAGGGGTTGGGGGAAAAAAAACCCCAAACACTTTCTTTCTTTTTTGTTGCTAGTCTCAGAAATTAATATACACCAGAACGAATGGAATTAAAATATCAGCATGACACTTTCAAACATAATGGCTAAGCCTGCAATACATGGATCTTGCCTGATAGCTCTGTCTTCCTGAGTGTTTTCTATCTTGCTGTCTTTCAATTACTGAAGAAATTAAGAAGTCTACTGTTAGAAATTTTTCCAACCCCCATAAATTCTTCATCAGTGTGTGATAAACTTATCACCACTAAAATCTGAAGAATCACTTTCACTTATCTTTCCAAAGCCCACAACCTTCTCTCATTCTGCACCCTCTTCTTTCCTTTTCCAGATAATGCCATGCCCTTAGTTTAATTTTAAACAGCAAAGCTGCTGTAAAGCACTTCACTGTTTTATATAAAAACATACAGCTTGAAGAAGTACTCCATAAAAATGAACAAACAAGCACTTAAAATACCTGTTTTAGCACAAAATCTTTTACATGGTCTCTCATTCTTTTGGTACTTTTTCCTTTATTCTTTTCATCTACTGGAATTTGACAGCACTCTATATACAGGGGACTCCTGCTGGGATCTGAAACACCGCATGCTTTGAATTAATTCGAACCATTTACTGTATTAAATTCCTGTTAAAATCACTTTTTGTTGAGATCAACGGAACACTTTCTAAATGAAAAAAAACCAAAGCAAACCAAAACCAATGTATGATTTCATACATCTATTTCCCAAAATGTTGCGTGTTAAAAAAAATGTTACAGGGTTCAAGGATTACTAACTTACGGACCCTGCTATCAAAACAGGATAACATCTTCCTATAACCAGACTAACGACTGAAAGAATCTATAGCAAAAAATGCCCATTTTTCCTGTAAAGCCTTTTCCAGAACTTGAGAGAATTAGAATGATTTTCAGAAGACACATCACCATTCCCTTCATAAAAGTGGACAGCGTTTCGATTCTCTAACACCTCAAGAAACAGTTCTCTACAAAGCCAAAAAGCCGCAAAAGTTTTCTGGCTTATCCCATGGTTTTATAGTTTAGTGAATTTGCTTACAGCTGACTGCAGTGTGTGCCATCTGCTAGACAGCTGGAAAAATCTCCATTTTATTAGGAGATGCTGTGCCCTGCTCCTGGCCAAGTAGCTGCACGGTTTCATATAGGACTTCATCATTCAGGACAACAACTGAAAAGTTTTGGCCCACCATTTCAGATTTCTTTTCCGTCAATTCCATCATTGTTAATCCATCTTCACTTCATAAACGGTGCAGTGTCTTTAAGGCCAGATACTGTTTCCAAGCCCACATGGTATTTTCTGGATCCACAACTTAGAAAAACTCCTCTGCCTTTCGTGCCCACCATTTATCTTTCATAACACAAAGCTTTGCTTGTTTTTCTTGCTTAGCTGCCTGGTTAGAAGCTTTCTCATGTGCCACTTTTTTTTTTTTTTAAGCTTTTATTGAGCTTTGTGCAATGTGTTCAAGGACACTAGCAGAAAATTAATTGAACTGTACCTTTTAATCAAACTGTCCTGAAGTTTGTGTCAACGCAGCTTCTGATTTTCACTAAGGCCCTATGTAATTGCATGTCTGAGATTCTTTTCCTCTGATTCAGCATTCCCTGTTTGGCTTGGTAAATCAATGATAACAGCATCAGGCTCAAATCCAGTTGTTTCATGATGTCTGTTGTCTTGAGAAATTCAGTTCTCTCTATTAATGAGTCTGATGTGCAGCCTACACTTGCTGGTAGCACACAGTGGTATCTGACTCCTCGCTAGTCCGCAATCAGTCCAGCAATTTGCACGTCGCATGTATCAGGTAATTCTGACCAGCATTCCAACTGCCAAGCAGCTGCGTGATGCCATATATAACCAGCCAGAAGCAGTTCTGCATTCATGGCCAGGTTCTAGATCCTTTTGGATTTGCTAGTATATTGTGACACTACTAAAGCAAATCCTTCAGGTGACATTCTGGTCATCCGGAGCCTCTCCTCAAACTTGAAAGTCATGAACGATGTGTGCTGTAAAATCACACACACACGACAAGTGTGGCATTTTGCAAATCAACTGGAACTGTTCTTTGACTTTACAAGGCCTGTCCTAGTTAGCATATAGGACTAATAGCGGTGACACAGTGACCAACCACGTAGGTGTTGTGAACACCCTTCTGACCACCCATGTGCTTGACTACGGTGCCAAGCACTTTTTGCCAGTGGATTCTTTTCCGTGAGTCCAACTACATATAGACGTTATTCATCTTCCCCAACAGAAAACCACTCCATCCAGATTTTTCCAAGTTTGCCTGATAGCTACGAGTAAACCTCGCCTGCCTCAGTGTTGTAGCAATGATTATCAGTAACACATACCAGAGATGACAGACTCCTCTGCTTAATGCAGAAACATCAGCCCTCACAGGGGTTTGGAAAGGCCACTTGGAGGTGCTGAGGAAGAGTCAAAAGCCATGGCTGCTCTAGCAGTAATGTAAGGAAGGTTAAAAGAAAAGTTCTGGAGGCAAAATAGTGGTTGTTAGGGAAGAAGCAGAGAACTATGGTAGCATTTCCAGAAATGCTCCCAAAATGAGACAGGTTGACAAGCAAAAGTTCAATAAGCAGCAAAGAAAATGTGTTAAAAAGGGGATTCAAAGAAACAGGGAAATTTGGGGAATAGGAAGGGAGCCTCTGGAAGGTAGCTGAGCTTAATCTGAACCAGAGAAGAATGAGTTTGCTGACACTTCAAAGGTCACATGAAGCCATTCAAACTGAAGAGGTGACAGAAACATAGTACGTGGTTTAAGAGAAGCAGTAACGTCATGGAGACCTGCAACTCTCAACTAAAGGAAAGGACAGAGGTTGATTAAACTCAGGCAAGAAGGAAATGGCAAAGAAAAGCCAGTACTTTCTTTTTAAAAATTTTGCAGAGGAATAAAACACCCACAGGAAAGTATAGACTCTTCTATAGAAACAGTAAAAGCCTAAGAAGCTAGACAGAAGAACTAAAATGGCTGTTGTTAAAACAACGTTATTTACACAATAGTCTTACTGAAAACTTGTTGGAAAAAAGACCATCAGCAAAATACTGAACGCTGCAGCAGGGATCGAAGAAACGCTTGTATTAACAACCTAGGGGAATCAAAAAATAGCATAGGGTCCCTGTGAACCAAAAAACTAGACTGAACAGGAAAGTCTTAACTAGATAAATTACCTAGAGGACTGGTCATCCAAC